TACTGGTGTGTATATAGAAATTCTCAGTAAATATAAATATGCACACACTGAGAATTTATATATACACCAGAATGTTTAATTCTCATTCTCTCTCTTTCTCTCTTTCTCTGGACACTTAAAGAGAGAATGCCACATGGGAAGCTGGCTTATCCCAGGCCAGACTATTCATCTGTCTGGCCCATTTTGTCTTTATGTGTTTTTGTTTCTGTTCAGTTTGCTATTATGCATCTCTCCAGCAAGCCCCTTTTACATATGAACAAATTGGCTGGGTCACAGATTTTTGCCTTTAATTTGCCATGTATGACCTGCTCTATGCCTCCACCCAGAGCCATTAAAACCAAGGTATCTATTTCTCTTCACTCCCCCCCCCCATCTGTTTTCCAGTTCTTTAGGAAAATAAATTAGAACCTGCCATGCCAGGTTCTGACCCCGGAATTTAGTGACGGTGGAGTGGAGTAGGCCTGTTCTAACTAATCCGTGGTGTGTCTCTTGCCTGACTGATAAGATTGTTGAGAGTGTCAAGCAGGGACACGCTGTCCCATTCACCTGCTATCGGCTACTTTTTTTAAAGGATAGCAGAATGTGGAAATATCAGACATTTAGACTCCAACTCCCAGAATCTCCCAGCCAGCGATGCAGTTGAAATTGTGTCTGAAGTCTTGGAGATGGTCCTCGCTTTCCATCCAGCCACTGAACAAACGTAGTTTTGTTGAGCTTCGTCCGCTCTGCTGCATCCTGGGCTTTCAAAACTTGGAAAAAAGCAGCTTTTTCGACAATAATCTTCTAGTGGCCAGGCTTCCTGGACTTCTAGCTTTTCTGGGCTCTCCTACAGAACCTTTCCCCTTAATTTGCCGTGTATGTCCTGCTCCATCCCCCCACTCACCCATAGCCATTAAATCTAAAGGTCCATTAACTGTACATTCCATAAATGCATTTGTGGTGGATAGGAAATGTACTGCCCACCCGCCTGCCAGGAACCAAAGCCACTCAGGAATTGGCTGTTGAATCTAGAACAATTGCATTGATCCCTTTGTCCATTTGCAGCAGCCGGACCGGTGCGAGGGTGATGTAAGCTTTACAATCTCTAAATGATCCTTTATTTTCTTAACCCATGGTAGATCTTTTTCCTCCCTAACTGATGAAGCATTTCACTGTCAGGGCTGGGTAGAAGGCAGATAGGAGTCTACCTGTAGAGTTGTGGGTCATGTAAGAATCTCTGTTTTTCAGAGGTTTACAAACAAATGTACAGTGGCTAGCTTTAGACTTCATGGTTTATTCCTTTACCCTCAGTATTTGGCATCTGTGAAATGGGAATATGAATCGGTTCCTTGTGAACAAGTCAACATGCCCTTGCAATGTCGTATTTTCCGAGTTTTGTTCTGGAATGTCTAATCTGTATCCCTGTTCATCCGGGATGGGGAAGCAGTGGCTATCCCGTTGTGGCTGAACTGCAATTTCCATTAGCCCCAACCAGTGATGAAGGATCATGGAGGCTGCAGTCCAGCCACATCTGGAGGAAAACGCAATCTCAACCCCTGCTTTTGAATCCTTTTTCTGGAGGCAGCAGAGGGCTTGATGCCAGCTGAGACTCAATCTGGAGAATCCAGAGGTGGCAGGTGGACTCTGGAAAAAGAATTCAGTCTAGATTTGGGTCGGTGTTGATTAACCTTGCAGCACTAGAATTACAGCTTCCGAGTTCTTCTCGATTGGGCTTTGCACCTGGTTGCTCTGGGGCATTTGTGGCTTAGAATGTCTTTCTTCTGTGTAGGCTGACATGTCAACAGTGTTTGTTCCCAAGGAATGAATCTGCTATTCTCTATGACTAAGCCTGGATTAAACCCAAGAAGTTGTTGGAACGATGGAATCCAGGCATCAGCTGTATAACCCGCCCCTCTTAGTTAATACGACATGCACGTTGCATTTACCAATCTGATTAGGTGGCTACGATTTCTGCAGAGATAATTCTACTGGGGCCGGGGGAGTTCTATTTTTCTTTCATCAGCCGTAGGTCTTCCCCTTTGTAACTGTTTAACTACTGTGCGCTGTTAGATATGTTAGTAAATACTAGATTCTAAACAAGATTGAAAACAACAGCAAAGTAGTTTTCTGTAAGACCGGCTGGTAATATTTGTGAGTTAGAATATTTGTCTCTTACCATTTTTTTTCCTGCAAAGGATCTTGAAGGCAGTGTAAAATTATAAACATGAGAGGGGAAGCAATTTAGATACCTTTATTTGATTCATATCCTGTCTTTCTGTTCAGGGTTCCCACCCAGGCTGCAAACAGATGCAAATAAAAAGACAAGTTCTTATGTTAGAAAGCAGTTGATCAGTTTAATATTAAAATAATTGAATTGGAAACAATTTGAAAACAGCTTGGTAAAATGAATAGAGCTTCCATCCGTCAAACTGGCTCAGTGGCTTAGGTGGTTGGTAGTTTGATTCTCCGAGTTTTCCCCATGGAGAAGAGCCAGCCCGTGTAACCTTGGGCAAGCTTCATAGTCCCAGGACATCCCCTAGAAGAAGAGAATGGGAAACCACTTCCAAGTATAACCTACCTAGAAAACCCTAGAAAAGGGTCACCATAAATCAGAATTGACGTGATGCCACATGATGATTATTACTATCTCCTCCCATTAAAAGCCTGTTTCTAGATCACACTTGCATAAATAGCTTTCTGCCTTAGTTTCAATGACAAGGGCAATAACAAAAACCCCAAGTGGTGCAAACCTATAATCTCCCTTTAGAAGATAATGTAGGGCTGATTCTGAATGATAGTAATCTCCGGGGTTAGAGCATTTCTGAGCATGAGGAGGAGTCCGTTTCAGTTTCGTTTGGTTTCTGCAAGAATCTAATCCAGCCAGCCTCTCTCCCGTGGCTGGCAGAAGTGTTGGACTACAGTTCCTATCATTCCTGTGTTGCTTGGGGGGATAATGCGCACTGTATGGTGCCAGACAGGAGAAGACCACATGAATCAGGTCATGGGGAGTAGCGAGTCATGCCAGCTCCCTACTGCACGCTGTTTGATTAGTTAGCTACGTTTTTAACCCACCTTTCTTGCATTACATGTAGCGTAGTGTGAAATGGTTCTGTTACCCTCACTGGACAACAACCCTGAGAGGTAGATCAAGTTTAAAGAGAGTGACTGGCACAAGGGATCTTGGCAAAGATCTCCATTTTCATGGCTTAGTGGGGATTTGAACAGGGACTTCCAGATTTGCAAACCAACACTCTGAACATACAGTCATACTCTCTATGTACAAATATAAATCTGGGTTCCTATAGATCAAGTCCTATCCCAGAACTCTTTGGGTGGCCAACAGAGCTTTGCAGGATGCTAGTAGAAGATAACTAATGAATGCTCTCATTTTACAGGTGAGGAGGATCAACCTTTAAAATTGACCCATGCCAGTTGTATTTGCTTGGTAACTACTGCTTTCCAGGAGCAAAATTAGAAAGAATTGGAACCGAAGAGTCGGTTAAGACCATTTTTATTTTTTTGTTTCTTTAAAAGTTTTCTCCAAACAGTTGCATGGTACAGTAGATGCTTCCCATGGATATTTCACAAGAGGCAGGGCTTCCTCTGAATTGCCCTTTTTTAAAAAAAAGAAGATAAAAGAAAAAGTTGAAAAGCAGTTGCTCTGTTACTTTTTTTTTGAGCAGTTCAGAAATTAAAGGCAGTGAGGTGGATAGCGTAGCAAGAGATGAGGCTTTAGAACAGCTCGCCTTGAGGTTAAAGGAAGGAAGGAGTTAGTTTTTTTCAGAGCCGTCTGACGGGTGACGCCTCAATAGAGAAAATATACAAAAGTGGGTGTGGATGAAGGGAACTGCAAAAAAAAAGGAAAGGAAAGGAAGAAAGGAAAGAATAAATGTCAACACATATTACGAGACTTCTGTGAGAGATCCTAACTTATTACTGTAAAAAAAAGAGATTAATAATCATAAACTGGGTTTGCTTTCTATGGAAGGAGAATGTGGGATCCTCCAGATGTTAAACTGTGAGTCCCATCATCCCTTGGCAACAGGACCAAAAGTGAGGGATGATAGGAGCTGCGGTCCTGAAACTTATGAAAGACGATGTGTCCCATAACAGAGGAAATGTGATCAGGGTCGGTTTTTAAACTTCAGGTGGAACTGGCATTTAAATATTCCTGTTCTGTATTCTTTGTTTACATTTATATCCTGATTTTCCACCAGTGAATTTAGTATGTTGTATATCAGCTCTCCCTCCCCCAAAAAACTTTGTTCCTCATGACTGGCTGTAAAGTTCTCACAGGTGGAGAGAGAGAATCATTGGCCCAAAGCCATCTAGAGGATAGGGGTGTGCTCTTTTTGTGTTTGTTTGCTTTCTCTGCCTCTTTCTCTATACAGTGGTGCCTCACTAGACAGTTACCCCGCATGACAATTTTTTCGCTAGACATTGACTTTTTGCGATCGCTATAGCGATTCACAAAACAGTGATTCCTATGGGGGGATTTCGCTGGACAATGTTTGGTCCCTGCTTCGCAAACCGATTTTCGCTAGATGACAATTTTGACACCTCCCTCCGCGCTCGCAAAACGGGTGTTTTCGAGACCTAAGCTTCACAAGACAGCGATTTAAACAGCTGACCGGCAGTTCGCAAAGCGGCTTTTCTATGGCCGATCTTTGCTAGACAATGACGATTCTTCCCCATTGGAACGCATTAAACGGGTTTCAATGCATTCCAATGGGGAAATGCTTTTCGCTAGACAATGATTTCGCTAAACAGCAATTTTAGTGGAATGGATTATCATCGTCTAGCGAGGCACCACTGTATGTGTGTTTTTTTGACTCCAGCTTCCAGAATTCTCAAAGACGTCCCTACAGGCCCCTTCATTTCACTCTCTTGGAGAAGGAAGAGGCTTTCTTCTTGGCCTTTTTCTGAACCGTCATTTCCTGCGGTTGTGCTTCCTGGGCAGAAGCTGCCTAGAGATGCTTCCTGGGTGTGTTTGTCTCATTGCTTTTATGCTCCATACAGGGCACATGCCAAGGAGCCAGCCTCCAGGAAGCACTGCAGCAGGAAATGAAGGCTTAAAATAAGGCCTTGAAGGAGACCTCAGCTTTGCCCAGGTGAGTGAAAGGAAGGGAGTCTGCAGGTATGTATTTGGGGGCGAAGCTCCCAGAATCCTGCCTAGGGAATTCTTAGAGATTTCTGGGATTTGCAGTAAGAAAACAACACTGAATGGCAGACTAATTTCATGCTTACTGGGGGCGTGGATTGGGTCACCCAGGTTCCAGGCCAACACTCTTAAGCACAGTGCCAGCCTGGCATCTGTACACCCTCGCCTCCGGGTATAGGGGAAGGCAACTTGTGACCTCTAAATTGGACCATGCCTCCCATCATTTCTCACTATTTGTGGTGGAAGCTAGACCAGATGGGCTATGTAGTCCTGCAAGAGAAGGAGGATCCTGCATTCTTGAGCCAAGGTATAAGCTGGTAGGCGTTCACACAGGGCACTTAATTCCGTTCTATCCAAGCCCTCTCCCTCTTGGCATGTCTTTACTCATTGAAACACCATGCTTCGCGTCTGTGGAATATATTCAGTTTTCATTGCAAGGTCTGTGCTTTCATTTTTTTCCCTCCTCTTGGGTTTTCTTTTATTATCTATATGTGCTATATGACTTCAGAGTTCACAGCTTCCCTGTGTAGTCCAGTATTTTTACAAAAAATACACCTCCTAGTTTTGTATGGTGATCTTTGCAAAACATAAATAGGGAAGTCCAGAAATAGTAAACACCATGTAAGATGAAAACAATCCATTGTGGCACCACTTAAACACTCTAGGTCTTTCTTTCAAGGGTTTCTTAAAAATATATTGAGAAAATAAAACCGTTACCCAGCATGTCTTTTCATTGGTTTGAATATGTTACTGGTCATTTTGGCTAGTGTAAGTTAGCATATGATGCCATGTCTCTGTTAGGGTTCTTGGGATGCCTTGATTTTTAGTTCCATTTCTGTCAGCCTTTGCTGTCCAACAGAATATGGAAGTCGGGAGGGATTCCCAAAGGTCATTTTGTCCAGCCCCCACCAGTGTTGGAAATACAGGCCTTAAAACTTCCCTGGTAGGTGGCCATCCAGCCTGTGTAACAACATCTCCAAAAGAGATTCCATCGCCCTCCCTGTTCCGTTGTTGAAGAGCTTTTATTATCAAGATATTTCTCCTGATCTTTAGTGTGCCTCTCCTTTGAGCGTGATTTGAGTCCCTTGGTTTGGCTCCTGCCTTCTGGACCTTCAGAAAGCCACCTTTTGACCCTTTCCCAAATGACAGCCTAGTCAACCCCAATTTGCTATTAGAAGGAATTATAACAAGCCAGAGAGGTAGGTAGTGCTTAATTGACTTTCTTCTTTGCTCATGTCACAAGCACTGCAATATAATTAATAAATATATCGGATAATTTTCTCCTAGGAACGGGCAGCGTCACCAGGCATTTGGGATAGCTGGCATCAAATCTTCCATAGTACATGTTGAGGGGCACCGAATGGTAGATATAAAGTTGCCTGCTCTTTTCCCCACTTACAGAGGACTATGTCGGTGTGAAAGCCCCATTTTTTTTTCTGGTTCACTTTGGTTCTGCCGGCTCAGTTCCATAGCCTATTAAGTGAGTAGAGATGGGCAGAAAACAAACTACGAACCAAAAAACCCAACAAACTGGACCGGGTCGTGGTTCAGTTCACAACCCAGTTTGGGGATCCTATTTTGCTGAAGCAAAACAAAATGCAAACTTTTTTTTTCCATTTGCTTTGGCCCACCTGCTCCCTTTCCACTGCCCCCATCGCCTCCACCTACCTGATCGGCTGCCATTGCCATCAAGGGTGCTGTTCTCCAAGGCCCTGGGACTGGCTTCGCTGCCAGGAGCCAGGCACGGCCTCTGCGCATGCACCTGCCTGTCAGCTAGGCAGTGGGCGCATGCTCCAAAGCCGCAGCAGCAGTGGAGACAGAGGTGGATGTTCTTGTTATATGCCATCAAGTCACCCTCAACTTATGGCGACCCAATGAATGAGCGCTCTCAAAGTCCTGTCCTCAGTTGCTTCTGTAGAGTCAAGCATGAGGCTTTCTTGAGAGAATCGGTCCATCTTGTATTAGGTCTTCCTCTTTTCCTGCTGCCTTCCATCTTCTTTTCCGGAATTACAGTGGTGCCTCATTAGACGACGATAATCCATTTCACTGAAATCGCTGTTTAGCGAAATCATCATCTAGTGAAAAGCATTTCCCCATTGGAATGCATTGAAACCTGTTTAATGCGTTCCAATGGGGAAGAATCGTCGTTGTCTAGCGAAGATCGGCCATAGGAAAGCCGCTTCGTGAACCGCCGATCAGCTGTTTAAATCATCGTCTTGCGAAGCTTAGGTCTCGAAAACACCTGTTTTGCGAATGCGGAGGGAGGTGTCAAAATCGTCGTCTAGCGAAAATCGGTTTGCGAAGCAGGGACCAAACATTGTCCAGCGAAATTCCCCCATAGGAATCACTGTTTTGCGAATCGCTATAGCGATCGCAAAAAGTCAATGTCTAGCGAAAAAACTGTCATGCGGGGTAACTGTCTAGCGAGGCACCACTGTATTATCTTTTCCAAAGAACCCCTCCCTTCTCAGGATGTGCCAAAAGTAGGATGGCTCCAGTTCCAACACTTTTGTCTTTAGAGACAGATTTAATTTAGGACCCACTTGTTCATCTTCTTGGCAGTCCAGGGTATCCGGGAAGCTCTCCTTCAGCACCATGTTTCAGACAAATTAATATCGCAAGATATTAATTGTATACATTAGATTCTTTTTTTTTCTTCAAAGCCAGGGGAAGCCCATTTGGGGGATTACAGTACTGGATGCACAGAAAAAAAAACTTGGGCACTAGGAACTGATGCCATATAAACAGATGTCTTTGGTTCCCAAATTATATGTTTAACAGACTGAAGAAGTGATTTGCTGTCTCATGATCCTGTGAATTTTTGTAGAGGGACTTTTTAAAATTAAAGACAAACCCTGCAAGTCGATGAACAGGCAGGCGAAACAGTTTCGTGAATGAATGCCTGCAAAAAAAAAGACATGAAATTGAACTAGACTCTCACCTATCCCGGGTTAAAAAAACAAAAAACAGAATGAGGGGAGAATGGGCAACTTGACTCTCACAAATGAGGAATAGTTTTTAAATCTCTTCAGTTCATTGGGAGCTCCCAGACTAGATAACACATTTGCTGATAGCTGTTTTTCTAAGGATACCTCCAGAGGTTTGTTGGAGGTTTGCTTTCAAATGAGTTAACTTTATGACCTTTCTTTTTCTCTCTCTCTCTCTTCCTTCATGGTTTCATGCTTATCTTGACTGCACTCGAGGTGAAGGTGCCTCTGACAAAGCACTTGCCTTGTGCAGTGTTGACAAAGTTGACTGCATCTGTGTGAAAAGTCATTGCAGACCCAGTTTTTAAATTCGGCACATGCTGCTTTTGGGTGATTCCTGATCTTATTCTCCTTTCTCTCCCCTCCGTTCCCCAAATAAAAAGGAAGTAAGGAATCTTTCTCCAGATTTAAAAAAAAAAATTGGGAATTGAACTGGTGGAAAATAATTGATGGTACAAATTATCTCCGCTTTCCTGCAATGCTTTCAGAGTTCGGCATCAAAACAGATGATTCCACTAGGTTCTCATCTCTTTTCCAAACAGAGAGAGGTATCTGGGTGCGGTGCTTACCTTGATTTGACGTGGAAGGCGGTTTTCTAATAATTTGATTCACTTACAGAAGTTGAACCTAGCGAAGACTCGTTGGTTAAATCATGTCTAGGTCCAGATGTTTTAGACTAACAGCATCTGGAATTCCTTGCCATTGGTCATGCTGGCTCAGGTTTCTGGAATTTGAGATCCAAAAGAGCTTGGAGGATCAGAGTTTCCTCCTTCCAAGTTTACACTCCAACAAAGCCCGAAGCTCTCACATCAGATCTCTTAAGACAGCCATTCCAAAAAGTAGGGTTCTAGATATTCCTGGACTACAACTTTCAGAAGTCCTAGCTAGGAGAGCCAATGAGAGGGTTCTAGGAGTCATAGTCCAGTAACATCTGGGATCCCAAGTTTAGTAGCCGCTGCATCTTAAGATGCATTTTAAAACCCCAATTCTCTACCTCTGCATTTTCTCATTGTTTGTCCTGACCAATGGCAGGCTGCCCTTTGTTTACTTACAGGTTGGAGTGTTGGATTGGAATTGGGGGGGGGGTATTTCCAAGTTCAAGTCTTGAGCAGATCATGAAATTCTTCAGATGTCTGCTGATCCATTCTCGACTCTTAATAGGATTTGCTCCACAAGGTTGTTGCGAAGACAATGTATAGGGAGCCATTTACACCACTTTGAGCTGACTGGATGCGAGGCAGGATGGAAACATGATAAATCTGTAAATGAATTCTAAAAGTGGAGAAAGTTATCCTTGTTTTCCAAAAGGTACACTCTCTCTGGAGAAGCTACTGTATTTTTCCATGTATAAGACTATACTTTTGCCTAATATTTTTAGACTAAAAATTGAGGGTTGTCTTATACATGGAAGTAAGCTGAGGAGAGAAAAAACAAGTGGAGGGGAAAGCAGGGATCAAAGTGATCCTGCAGGGCTTTGACCTCTTTTCCCCTACACTTGCTAAGCCCCACTTAGAATTCTTAATTTTTGGTTAGAAGAGTTACCGTATTTTTCGCTCTATAAGACGCACCTTTCCATAAGACGCACCAATTTTTTAGGAAAAGAAAACAGGAAAATATAATCTGTTTTCTTCGCTCCATAAGACGCACAGACTTTCCACACCCCTGTTTTGTGGGAAAAAAGTGAGTCTTATGGTGCAAAAAATACAGTATATATGGGGCGTCTTATACACAGAAAAATACAGTACTTCCTTGTTTTCTCATCATTATAGGCCATTTATCTGTAGTTTCTCTAATTCAACTCAAAGTTTCTTGGCAAAATTCCCCAGTAAGAATAAGATTCCAACAACTCTCTTGGGGCTGAAGACTTGGTGGAAAGCTGGATGCTTGTTGTACTGCAACTTCTGTTGGCCTCCCCCAACATTGCCAGTGGTCAGGCATGATGGGAGTTGTAGTATGGCTTCATCTGGTTCCCCACCCCTGTCTTAAACATTCGCAAACATGAGAGGATCATCACAGTACCCCTGATACTTGTTTTATCTTTTGGGGGAAGGGCCAAGATATGTGACCAAGAATTCCCTTCCCTTTGGAATGATTAGCTGGTCTTTGCTAATACAGACTGATCCCTCTCTTGTTAATTGGTGAACTCTCTAGCTAAGTTGATTAGACTGATCCCTCTTAATTGGTGAACTCTCTAGCTAAGTTGATCCAGTCACCTTGATGTCTACTGTAGAAGTTTATAATGCTAATACAGTATTTTCCTTTTTTACTCCTGCACAGTTCCCTCTCTCTCTCCAAAGGGAAGCAACCAACCAAAGAATTCTTCACCTTTCTGCCCGACGGGAGTGACTTCTCTATTTCTACCAACGGCTCAAATTTGTGAAACTTCCTGGGAGCTTCTCTTTCCCCTTACTTCTCTCGCTCTCTCTTTCTCCAACGCAATCCTTGCTCCGAGACACGCAATGCCATGATGTGCAGTTATTTAATGTAGCTGGCAGGCCTTGACCACTTCCCACGTGGACCTTTGAGCACAGCATTATGTGGACCTTGTGGGCCTTTGCTGGTCTCTGGATGCTGGTTGGAGAGGCCAACGCGGTAGGACCATCTGCTGGATCGTGGGATGTCAAGATCTCCGCATCTACCCACTTGGACAACAGAGGATACTTGGTGAAGAGGTTGGATGGAGCCTCACAAGTGGATGTGAGTTGGACTTTTGCTACAGGAGGGAGGGGTTGTATTTTGCTAGCCGGGTCCATTGTGGGAATGTGTCTCGTGTCTCTCTGTGTGTTTTTTTTTTAATCCAAATGAAATGCGCCTGACACTTAAGCTTGGTTCTAGTTGCATGTATAACCCCATGTCTGCTTGTCTATTTAAATGCACAAATACAACAGTAGGTTGAGAACAAGCATATAAGGACTGCTAAATCAAAGCCTAGAGTAATGAAATTGGAATAGGTGTATAAGGCTATTGAGTCCAGCATCTGCTGGATGCAGGAACCTTGCTTACATTTCTGTGGGGAGGCATTTATTTATTCAAAGAAGGAAGTGTTGGGTGGTTTTTTTGTTCATGGATGAGACATTTTTTTAAAAAACACAATAAGAGTAACATGTACATTAGACTGACTGATTCACTTAAAGCAGAGGAGGCCAAACTTGTATCTCTGCTTAATTTGTAAAATTGCAAAAAAAAAAAAAGTGTGCTGCTTATATACCGCCCCATAGCGCTTCAAGCACTCTCTGGGCGGTTAGAATTGCAGCAACATGTTTACCTGCAGTTGTGGAGGAGACAGGAATTGACTAGGGATAGGAGCTTTGGATTTCCTGGACTACATTTCCCACAACATATTTACCTGCAGTTGTGGAGGAGACAGGCATTGACTAGAGATAGGAGGTTTGGATTTCCTGGACTACATTTCCCACAATTCCTCAGTCTAGGAGCTCTACCTGACTTGCACACACCTTAGCAACATCTAATGTGTTGCTCACCTAGGAGAAAACACCTTTACTGGAAGGTTTTGGGGCTTAGGTACACCTAGCTCTGCCCAAACTTCCTGTTCCTGCCCCACTGCCAGCTGGGAGCTTTCTTTCTGAACAGGAAGCTAGGCAGAGCTAGGCAGAGCTGAACAGGAAGCTAGGCCTAGCTTAGCCTCAAATCCTGCCAGGTCTTTTCTCCCAGGTGAGCCACATTTAGTTATATGTAAGTCAGGCAGAACTCCCAAAATAGGGAATTATGTAATGCAGTGGTTCTTAACCTTGGGTAATCTCAGGCAGAACGCCCAAAATGGGGAATTATGTAATACAGTGGTTCTTAACCTTGGGTAATCCAGGTGTTCCTGGACTGCAATTCCCAGAAGCCTTCACCACCAGCTATGCTGGTTGGGGCTTCTGGGACTTACAGTCCAAGAACACCTGGGTTACCCAAGGTTAAGAACCACTGATGTAATATATAGTCCCAAGAAAAAAAAATCCCATCACTAGACTTGACTGTTATTTATTTATTTAAAATATGTTTATCCCGCCTTTCTCTTTAAAAGAGAGCCAAAAGACAAATATTAAAAGACAATATTTAAAGCTAGAAACAGTATAAATAGTAAAAAGGATCAAACAAATACCAGACTAAATGATGGTTAAACAAAAACTACACCAAAAACACATTCAAAACAGTAAGGCACAGCCATCCATTAAAAAAAACCCACTCAGGCAGCCAGTCAGGGAAAGCTTGTCTTTTCCAGGCCTCCAGTGGGAGGGAGTTCCAGAGTCTGGGAGCAGCAACAGAGAAGGCCCTCTCCCATGTCTCTACGAAACTTGTGAGCAAGAGAAAGGCTTTTGTAGATGATCTTAATGCCCGAGCCAGCATACAGGGAGACGCCTTCCTTGAGGTAGCTTGGACCCAAGCCGTTGAGGACTTAATAGGTTAGAACCAGGACTTTGAATGGTGCCCAAAAGCAGTTAGGCAGCCAGCGGAGCTGCTGCAACAGGGGAGTTATGTGATTCCAGTGAGCAGTCCCGGTTCAAAGCATTTAGGCAGCCAGTGGAGCTGCTGCAACAGGGGAGTTATGTGATTCCAGTTAGCAATCTGTGTTGTTGCATTTTGAACCTGCTGAAGTTTCGAGCAGTCCCGGTTAGCAATCTGGTTGTTGCATTTTGAACCTGCTGAAGTTTCTGGACACTTTCCAGAGGCAGCCCCACATAGAGCGCACTATCGTAATCCAGCCAGGATGTCACTAAGGCATGTGCCAGTGTGACCAGATCAGACCTTTCCAGGAAGAGGTGAAGCTGGCACAGTAGTTTTTATTGTGCAAATAAAATAATGATGGTGATGATGAAAGCACTCCTGGCTACTGCTGAAACCTGGGCATCCATCCAGGCATAGAGATGAATCCAGGAGCACTCAAGCTGTACACATGTTATCCGGTTTTGCAATATGCAGACAGGACGAGTTTATCCGAATCCAGGAGCACTCAAGCTGTAAACATGTGTTACCGGGCTTTGCAATATGCAGACAGGACGAGTTTATCCCTTCCTTCCTGAGCTGTGATCTTCCCAAACTCTCTAACCCCTCCACTGCATAGGATGCTTAGGAGAAAACTGTTCTATGGATGCCAATGTGAACTTTTTCTCTAAGCCTTCTTATATACAGTGGTGCCTCGCATAGTGATCGCTCCGTTTAGCAACGAAATTGCTTTGCGACGTGTTTTTTGCAATGTTCCCTATGGGGGAATTTCGCTTTGCGATGACCGATCATCGCAAAGCGACCATTTTCGGCCAGCTGATCGGCGGTTTCAAAATGGCCGCCGGGGAAAAACATGGCCGCCCGCTGTTTTCTGGGATGGATTCCTTGCTTAAGAGGCACCAGAAATGGCCACACTATGGAGGATCTTCACTGAATGGTGAGTTTTAAGCCCATAGGAACGCATTAATTGCGTTTTAATGCGTTTCTATGGGATTTTTTATTTCGCATTGCGACGTTTCTGTTCTGCAGCAATTTTTGCGGAATGAATTAACGTCGCAATGCGAGGCACCACTGTACTTGACAGAATCCATGATAGGGTGGTAAGCATAAAATAGAAATAGACGTGTTTATGGTGCCAGAACAGTATATTTAGTTCTCCGTATAGTAATATATTGCAAAAGTCATAGCTTCATGATTTATGTTATAAATATATGATATATGCACAGTAGGATTTTGTTTGATCGTTTTATTGAGTGACCGTGGTGGTTTATCTTTTCTGACCCCTGCAAAACAGAGTCCAATTAGATTTATAAAAGTATTTTCCCAATATCTGGAATTCATGACTCCTGCCTTTCCTCGCCTTTGGCAAGGATGATGAAGGGAATTAGAGGCCTAATTAAAGTGAGAGTGAAATATATGGAATACTCCTGTTCTTGATCTAATACATGTCTAGTGCCTTTGCTCTTCAGCTCCCCTGTCCCACTCCAAGACAGTTTTGGGTATGCTAGATGGGAATTGTAGTTCAAAAATGTTTGGTGAGCTACAGTCTCCCCACACCTTGTGGTATTTCCCTCTTCTTTGTTCTGCACACTAACCCTGCAAGATCAGTTAATCCTGTATCCAGGACTCCAAAGCCCAGCTGTCACTGCCTGGAGGCGACATCTGTTTTATGGATAATATAAATATGGTATTTTGATGTCATGCATTGTTTTATACTGTGTGTTTTGGTCTTTCTGAATGCTGCTTTTGAAGTTTTTGAATGTATGTCGTTGATAAATTCAGGAATTCATCTAAAAAGATTACATAGGCGGGCTCATTTTAGTCTGTTGAAGTAGCGGCACCATGAAGACTTACAAACTTAGGGCAAAATCCAGCTGTTAGTCACAGTTAGAACAGACCTATTGCATTAATGGGATTTTAAAAGTCAACTTGTGTGTAAGTTCCATTGTTTCAATGGGTATATGCCTGCTGGGACTAAAAACGTGATAATGTTGTCCATTGCTAGATGTGTCTATGGGTTAGAGGCCACTTCATAGACAAGATGTTGAGCTGTTACCTGCAAGCAATTTATGGCATGAAAATCTTGCTAGAAGGCTCTTCATTGTGGCTCTTGGTTTATTTATTGTAACATCACCCACCAAACCAGTTCTCTTTGCTGGAATGCTTGGTCTGGCCACTCCCAGCTGAGTCACCTTACATGGCCAAAGGCTGTTGAGTAAGATATAGATCACTATGGATGAACTAAACAAAAATCTGCTGGTCAGTGGAAGCAACTCTGGGCTATAGGGACAAAGAGCCTGATTTAATTCAGTAATACCACACATATATGCTCTCTTGTATAGAGGTGTTTTGTTATAGTGTGCCATGTTTGGGTGGTCTCACTTTATGGGGGCCCAGTCTCCCTCAAGGAAGTCAGCCGAACCTCTAGGACAGTGGTCTCCAACTTTGGGCCTCCAGATGTTCTTGGACTTCAACTCCCAGAAATCCTAGCCAGCAGAAGTGGTGGTGAAGGCCTCTGGGAGTGCTTGATGGTGGCCCAGTCTCCCTCAAGGAAGTCAGCTGGACCTCTAGGAGACCTGGGACCCAGTCAGTCCCTCCTTTGCGGTGGAAGTTGAGCTGGTCTACCCACTCTACCTCAAAAGTTGGCCAGGCCTCCAGAACCTATAGCATTAGGTGTAATGTTAAAATGATCTTGTTAAAATGATCCAGTTAGTGTTCCAAACATCCTGAGCACTGAGTGAGTTATTGCTGTAAAAGGGAGATACTTACATTGCCTTTTACCTGTGTCCTCCATGAGTCAATGGGTATCTCCATGAAAGTAGGATGTAGCTCTCTGGATGCTGGGATCCAGACTCCATGATTTCTGACCATAGGCTATGTTGGCTGGGGCTGATGGGAGCTGGAATCCAGTATTGGGTAGACCATAGTAGCTCTGCTTCCTCTATGAACGACCCTCCTTCTGCCATTCATTCATGGTTTGGCCATCTCCCTGCTTCTGTTGCTTAATTTCTATTAAACCAATGGTGGTAATTTTGTCAGAAGTTGTTGTACTGGAGGTCGGGATTGAGTGCTTCCAAGTAAATAAAAACCTGGGGGACAATTAAGTTCTTGTGATGACACTTTAATCCTCCTCTCTTTTTTTCTCATTCTCTTCGTTTCCTTCCTGTCCTTCCTTTACTTTCTTTTGCTCTCATTTCCCTTTCCTTTTCTTCTTTCCTTTTCTTCTTTCCTTTCTTCATTTCTTCATTTCTTCCTTTCTTCCTTTCTTCCTTCCTTTCTTCCTTTCTTTCTTTCTTTCTTCCTTCCTT